TCTAACGTGGGTAATTCACAAGGAAGCGCCAGCCGGCCGGGCACGAGGGAGGGACCGTCCCCCTCCACGCGGCCACGTGGCTGCCGAACCCCAGCGCATCTGTGTGTGTATAATCAAATGGTTCAAAGCTCCTGTAGCAGCAGGCAGTGCTTTGTTGTAAAACAAAACTGAGATGAAATAACCGCCATCCTTTCAACGTCCTCCGAGAGCCCGGCCTCGGCGGCGCGTCCTGTGATGTACTTCTCTCTGACCTCAAACACTTTGATTCCTTTCTCTTTTTTTTTTTTTTCAAGTTCGCATTAAAGAGAGAAAGCTCTCAGATTGGTCTACTGTACCGGAAGCCTCGACTGGATCAGAATTCTTTGGCCTGCGTGGAGAATTAGTTGTTATTCCGGGTAGTTGCGGAGATGAAGAGCCATTCCACTGCGGAAGCCCAGCCCTCGGGGAAGTCGGGCCGTCTCGCGCTTTACTTAAAAACAGATGCGCTCCCACGGGTCCCCAGGGCTCCGCGGGGCACACAGGGACACCGAGAACGGCCCCGGACGCCCCTTCACACTCACAATACACTCGCACAACTGGGGAGCACGGTTCGTCTGCAAGGCCTGAAACAAATGCTTCCATTGTCCATTCTGCAAATGAACATCGATGGCCACAGGGAGTTAAAATCCACGTTCAGCGTCCTGCGAGGAAGGCCCTGCCCCGCCCCCAACTCCCACACACACCAGTGACTCAGGACCCGCCATCCTGCCTGGCGGGAGCAGAGGCCTCTCTGGGACCTGAGGACCTTTTTTTATCCCTTGTCCTCTCAGAGATACTTTTTTTCCCTTAAGAATGCCTTACAGAGTATTTTAAAAACCTAAGTCAGGACGTTAATACACATCACTGTAATAAAAGGCCTTTTACAAACAGACTCTTTTACCAGTGGATCTGAGGCAGCGATGGCCAATCTGACTCCACTGTTTCTCGAAGGATCTTCTGTTTTGAAGTCAAGCCTTACAGACTACATAACCATCTAACGATCCCTAGTACTCTCCTCTTCCCCAGGCCACGAGCGATCAGCTTTCTGTCACCACAGATGCATCTTTGTCTTTAAAGCTTTGGTGTCAGGTGTGCATGGTAGTGCATGCCTATAATCCCAGCTCCCTGGGAGGTAGACACAGGACTGTGGTCTGAGATAGTCTCAGGTAAAAGCTAACCTGACAGAGGCACAGAATTCACTGCGTACAGACCACGTTTTCCTGATCCACTCATCCACCGAGGGGCGTCTGCGTTGGTTGAAATCGCCCCATTTGTTAGGAAATGGAAAGACTTGGAAAAAAATATATCAAGTGAAGTAAGCCAGGCCCAAAGAAACATAGGCCCCATGGTTTCCCTTATTTGCAATAACTGGTATATGTCAGGGACAAGCAGAAAAGGTCAGATAAGATGATGTTAAGCAAAATGAACCCCAAGATAAGGACACAAGTGGTTTTTTTCTTCCTTGCTATTGTTTCTAACCTATTTATAAGGTACCATGTGATTTTTTTTTTGTTGCTTTGTATGTCCCTCCCCCACAGTATAACCCCTCTTTTCACTGTATTTGATGGGGAGGGGAAGGGAAAAAACAAATTGTTTAAATAGGGATACAGGTGGACCCATTACAACAATGAGGTGTACAAGACGCTATGTTGAAAAATGAACTTTTCAATTTAGGTGGGGGTAGGGGGTTGGGGGTGGGGAGGTGTAGCTGAGGAGGTGGGAGGGAAGGGATGGTAAGGGAAAAACAAAGGCGGAGGCAACACTGCTGGATAAGAAATGTTCTCATTACCTTGCTCATGTAAATGTAACCCCTTTGTACAGTATTTTCACAATAAAAAACTTAATTAAGGCCAGGCGCCTGTAGCTCTTGACTGTCATCCTAGCTACTCAGGAGGATGAGATCAGAGGATCATGGTTCAAAGCCAGCCTGGGCAGGAAAGTCTATGAGACTTTTATCTCCAATAAAAGCACTAGAAAACTGGAAGTGGTGCTGTGGCTCAAGCAGTAGAGTGCTTGCCTTGAGCTGAAGAGCACAGGGACAGCGCCCAAGCCCAGAGTTCAAGCCCCATGACCGACAAAAAAAAAAATTAAAAAAGAAATAATAAAAAAAGCCAGGCACCGGTGGCTCATGCCTATAATCCTAGCTACAGGAGGCTGAGATCTGAGGATCACGGTTCAAAGCCAGCCCGGGCAGAATAGTTCGTGAGACTCTTCTTGCCAATAAACCACTAGAAAAATGGAAGGGGCACTGTGGCTCAAGTGGTAGAGTGCTCACCTTGAGCTGAAGAGCTGAGGGACAGCGCCCAAGCCCAGAGTTCAAGCCCCATGACCGACAAAAAAAAAAAAGTAAAGTTAACGAAAAAAAAAGCTGGGTCTGGGAAGGTGGCTCAGTGGTAGAGCACTTGCCTTGCATGCATGAGGCCCTGGGTTCAATTCCTCAGCACCACATAAGCAAAAAGAAAAAAAGCCGGAAGTGGCACTGTGGCTCAAGTGGTAGAGCGCTAGCCTTGAGCTGAAGAGCTGAGGGACAGCACCCAGGCCTAGAGTTCAGGCTAACTTGAAACCCTATCTGTAAAACAAACAAAAAAGAAGGTCTATGGTGTGGTGGCAGAGCTTTTTCCTACCAAACTTGAGACCCAAAATCCAATTCCCAAGATCAAAACAACACACAAATGGAAATCAAAATCATAGGTTTGCTTTCTTCAGGGGAGGGGCTGTTTTTCCCAAGAGTGATTATCAGATTCATTCATGTTGCTGGATGTATCAATTATATTGTTGCACAATGATCCACTGTACTGTACAGACTATATAGACTGGGTGCCCATTTACCCGGTTTTCTATTCAAGTAAAGCAAACTCACCTATAATTTTATTTTAGATGCTGATCTGCATTGTACATGTTTTAAAATGTATTATCTTCTGATGTGACTAGTTTTGCAAAATTGCCATTAGGACAACAGTAACTTCAATTTTAAGGAAAGCCAATTTCCTGTTCTTTTTACTGTATTTGTCCTTCTTGGATTGTGTCAAATCCAAGTTACTGCTCTTATACTTTCCTCTAAAAATTTTGTTTCAGAAAAGTGTTTAGCTTTTATATTTAGGATCATGACCTATCTCAAGTTGTGTGGCATGTTTTATACAAGTTTTTATACAGTGTGAAGTATATAGAAACGGTCATCTATAAATATTAAAACAAGCTTTTATATACACCAGGAATACTACTTGTTAGTAAAGTTTTCGCACACCAAAAAAAAAAAAAAAAAAAACACAGAAAAACTCTTAAGAACTAAAATGTTTTAAGTACTATTTTTAGACAAAGTGACCTTTGCCTATTTCCTGTTTCTTTCTGCTTTTTAATTTGAATATAGTAAAATATTCTACAATAAGCAACAACTATCATCATAGCAAAAATAGATTGGATTTCTTTTTTGAGGGGGGTAGTATTGAACTCAGGGCTTGTACTTGCTCGTCTGGGGGGGAAGCTACCACGGAAACTAAGAATCCTCCAAACGTAACCCTGCTACCCTTAGCTTCCCAAGTAGCTAGGATTACAAGCATGAGCCCCCAGCCCCCAGCCAATTATTTTTATGTCAGTACTGAGGCTCGAACTCAGGGCCTGCCTGTCTTCCTTGGCTATTTCACTCATTGCTGAGGTTCTACTACTTGAGCCACAGCTCCACTTCCAGTTTTTGGCTGGTACACTGGAGATGAGTGTTACAGACTTCTCTACCCCAGGCTGGCTTCAAATCACAGTCCTCAGACCTCAGTGTTCCCAGTAGCTAGGATTACAGGCGTAAGCTACTGGTGCCTGCCTTGCCACTAATTTTTAAACCCTGCAGATAGCTGTTCCTCTCCACTCACCCCATCTCCGTGGGGAAGGGCAGCTGGTGCAGTTCTCTGGCTGACATACTCGCTGCCTCCCCCCTTGATTGGCTGGCGAACACAGCCTACGTCTGGAGCATCATCCTCAGCTAACGCTGGCCCTTCCGCCTCTCCAGCTGTGCGTCCTGCCGCCTGGCTACGGGGCAGGATTTGCCTTTCGAGCTGCAGCACAGGCCACCTTTGGATGGCGGGACTGCCTGCAGATGCTTTGCAGAAGGAAACATTACTTCCCTGACGGATGCATCAATAGAGTTGTCAACATGGTCTCCCTGATCAGAGGGGACCTCTGAAGTAGAATACGCAAGGACAGATGTTTCATCTGGGAAGATGGCCAAGACCCTCTGAAGACGTCTGCACGTTTGAGGACTGAGTAATTCAGCCTCTAAGAGGGACAGAAGGCTGGACCCATGATCACAGCAGAGACCACTTGAGGGTTTCCCCAGGCAGCCACCACACCAGCCCCACCAGAGCCGCCGGCATGCAGCTTCAGCCAAAGCCGCCTCTGGGACTCTTTTCCCAACAAACAGATAGGCCTGTTCGTCAGCAGTGCAGTCATCGTAAGTCCACCTGCTGTGGCTCCCCTTGGGGGCAGCTTGAGGACCCCAGAGGGTGGGGGAGAGCTCCTCCAGAGCTGAGGAAATGGGGTGTGGGGTGTTATGTCCTGAGGAAGCAGCCAGGCAGACCCCGAGATCCTGAGGGATGCAGGGGGAGCGACCCCGGCTGGGCTGAGGGGCTTGGGAGGCATGATCATGCTCAGGCTATAGCACACACAACCAAGAGGCTAAAGCTCCAGTCTCTGCTTTCTGAGCTGTACGCTCCTGTATGTTGGGCCCACTCGGCCCCCACATGACAGGATGGGGTTTTCCACTCATCAGAGCTCAGGTGTGGACTCGGAAAAACGAGACCGATTCGGGGGAGAGACGATTGACCTTCTCTGCAAAACACCTGTTCAGGAATGGAGATGCTAGCAAGAATACAGGCACCGAACGCCAGACAGGATGGCCGTGTCTCTCCTTTCCCGGTCTCCCACGTCAGAGACTGGAATCTGCCATCTGCCACACTCCCGGCCCCGGCTTCCAGGGAGCTCCCTTCTGGCCTCACCTGGGCAGCAGGTGCTTGCGGCTGACACAGAGCGCCGTCTGGTAGTCCTGGGTCACACACACTTTGTGAGGGCTGCACTTCACCTTCAGGCAGGGGTCCTTGGACGGGTCCAGCGCTGAAGCAAAAGGGGAGAAAAGGAGGGGGTTAGGGGCATCAGGCAAATTTCATTTAATGTGCCACTCACATAAATGAATGGAAAAGAAACCAGTTGAGAGGGATGAGGATGGGAACGAGAGGCCCGGCCGGGGGGAGTTCTGTGTATGTCTCCCATTGTCCCCCCTCCACATCAGAACACTGACACCATTGTATGTTGGGCATTTCAGAACCTTTTATTTCATTGGAAGCGCGATCTACTTTTTAAAAACGCCTTTTAGAATCTGATGTGATCCAAAGAGGCACCGAGAGCTCTCTGGTTATTTATCTGGAGTTTCATTTTATGTCTTCAACTATGTTTTATCTTATCACATAAAAAAAGTCCTCAAAGATGCAGGTTGGTCGGATGAGTTCAATAAACACCGTCTTGTGCGTAAACAGCTCAAGATTCTGGAGAGCTAGAGGAAGTCCAGGGCAGTTTAGACTCACACACAGTTACAACGTAATATGTGTGTGTGTGTGGGCTCTATATAAATATTTATTGAGTAAGCCAGAATTAGATAAGAGCCCTGATGGGCATATAAAAAACGATAATGGAGCTGGAGAGAAAGAGAGATCCATTTCTAGGGCAAGGATTAGGGAAGCATTAATGTGTGAATTGGATCTTAAGGACGGGTAGGGTCTGAAAAGCCAAGGAGGGCAGGGAGAGGAGGCCACGCAATACTACAAGGAGGCATGTTTGGGCAACCGTAAGAAACTAACTGTGTGTTGTGGGTGGGGATAATGAGGTGAGAAAAGTGGGTCCAAACACGAACCCCCGAGAGGGTCCCCAACAACAGCGGTTCCCACACGGGGGCTCAGTCAGCACTCAGCATGCTGGGCTGGGCCGGGGAGAGCCCCCAGCGGGGTTCTCTGAAAAACAAAAGCAGTTGTGCCATCTCCCAGCTCCAGGCCAGAGCTTATTAGGCAGCAAATCTCTCATAACCGCTCCCCACTGCCAGCGGAGGCGATGTGCCCCATTCCCTGTCCACCCAAACACTGGGCCACACCGTTGGCATCCTAAGCAGGGACAGCCGCCTCGCTCTAAGAGGCACCGGCATCTCACAACACCACCCTTCAGCCTCGGCGGCGGGCACCCAGCCACAGAATCTGACACTCTTTGGGGAATGCTGGGAATGTCTCCGGGATTGTGGACATAAAGTACCCATTAGCATTTCTGTTGCCTGGGCAGCTCAGCATGGCTCCTCGAGGTACCAACTGCGAACAGGAACCAGGGTACTTTCTTAGGTCAGCGGAGACAGGAGGACAACAAGTGGCAGAGCTACTGCCCGAGACACATGCTCTAATGTCTAGACTCTAGTAGAGAGAGAGCCAATGAGAGAGAGAGCGAGGGAGGAAGAGAGAGAGAGAGAGAGAATGCACCCCGAGGATGGCTGATCATTCTTGCTCTTAAGCTGAGGGCCACCTCTAGGAAGCAGGAAGCAGAGAGGCCGTGTCTTAGCACTGGCGTCCTCCGAGACCAGGCCTTCCAGACGTTTGTAGGCAGAGCTAGGTTCTCAGCCAGGCGCTGAGAAGGCGAGAAGCTGGGAGGCTGGGGCTGACTCCACTGGTGGCCTTCACTTGATTTCCAAGTCCTTCCAGAGTGGACTGGGGTGGACAGTCTGATGACCGCTAACCACCAGCCATGCGGATCCTCGTCTCCCCTTCCGTAGTGCCACCTGCCATGCTGGGAATCTAAGGAAGCCTGAGGAACCAACGCTGGCAGCTCTGCTGCAGCGACCTGCTGACACACTTCTCTGACAGGTGCTTGGGTGCCGCTCTGGTGGCGTTTCCTCTTGGGTATGTCTCAGAAATGGAGAGCACCAGGCTGACTCTGGATGATGGGTGGGTGTGTCAAAACCTGCCCTACTGTGTGGGAAGTCTTAAGGTTTATTTTGGCATCTTTTTGCTCCTGTAGCCCATACCCCGAGGTCCACTGGGCCCGTCAGTTGGCCTGAGTGATATGGTAAATCAGTTGCATGGCAGAAAAGAGCACAGATGTACAGCTAGGACCTCTGGCTCTGCTGCTTATTAATGTCTCTCATTCCCCCACTCCCTCCTCTGCAAAGGAAGGAAAACAAATACCTATGAACGCTAAGTGCACTAAATGAGTTGATGTTTGTTGCAATAGAGCTGGTAGATGTTAAGCACCTGGTACGTGTTATGGGTTACAGGTGTTCATGTTGTTCTCTGAGTGAATAATGAGCATTTGTCATTGCGGGAACAGCAGTCAGCACTCACCAAGGGCTTCTGACACACAGGGAGTGGACTAAGCCCTCTAATTGGATTAGCTCATGTAATCCTTACAAGCAGCCTTGGAGAGGCTGCTGCAAATGCACCCATTTTGCAAACACACCTCTTCAAGAGAAGCTGAGGCTGCCCGGTGCCGATGGCGCTACAAGTCTGCTCTGAGAACCAGAATGCTCATTATAAATATGCCGTCAGCATGGGATGCAAGGATGAGTTAGGCTGAGGGTGGATGGAGGCACACACAGAGCTCAGCTGGCCCCGTCTCCCCTCGCTGCTTAGGGCTGCAAGGCAGGGGAAACACACCCTTCTGGGACTGGTCAGAAGCAGCAGTACTGGGTGCTCAGCCGTGAACCACCACACCATGCGCCTCTCCCCTCTGTAGGGAGCAACCCCCTGGCTGAGTCACCCGACCCACGGCTGGCCAGGAGTGCTCCCGCCATCTGGTGATGCGGCTTCCTACTGTAGATATCCCTTCTGATCTGGGAAACTAATGGTTCTTAACCAACAAACAACTAGAAAATCTCCAAAGGAAAATACTCATTCTTCAGCATGGCCGGCTTAACGCCATACACATATTTAACAATCTGCATACAGAGATCAAGTCTGCTAAAAAAGAAAATTAATTATGAGGGTCTGAATACTTCAAACATGCAGGAGAATTACTGAGAGTAAATGAACTTCACAGAACAACAAAACAGTAACAAATCAAGCTGTCATTGCTTGTTTAATCATCAGAACACGTTTTGTTTTTGAAAAATAGCAATCCAGGGATTGTAAGGGGGTGAGGAGTGTGTCACTTTTTGTGACACATACAGCTCAGAGAGATGCTTCCCCCCAGCTGCCACAGGCTCACAGTGAAGCCCTGGACAGGCCTGGCCTGGGCACTGGGCAGCGCTATGGAGCTCCTCTTTTCAAAAGCAATGAGAAGAGACCAGGACCGTTTGGCACTGAGAAGTCCTTGTGGGGTCGGGAGGTGCGCAGGTAGGGAGGCAGGGAGCGAGAGCTGAGAATCAGTGACGGTTGCCAGCTGGTTTGAGGCCTCCTGGTCACGGCACTGATTTCTTGGAGATGGTGGGTGCTCCACATTCTAATTTCCCTCTGCCCGTACTCGAGCACAAGGTACAGCAGTCCCAGGGGACCACACAGCCCTGTCCCATGACCTCGGTCAGGCCACGTTGGCAGGGCAGGGAACACGCCCACCACTGCAGAGGGGCTGTGAGAAGTTAATTTCCTTTTTCCTGCAGAAACCCATCCAAGGCCGGCTGGCACCGGGCACACATCCCATTTATGCTTTTCAAAGTATTTTTGACAGAAACTTTTTACTTTTCTAAAGTAACAAAAACAGCTAAGCAAGAACTAATTTAAAGAGACATTGGTTGAGCTGCATTGAATTCAAAAAGCCAGTTAATTAATGTCTCGGCATAGGTTTTTTTTTTTTTTTAATTAATTTTATTTTTTAAAGCTCACTGCTTGGTTGCAATTAAGGTGGCAATATTTTAATTATCTTAATTGTTTCTGAACTTGTTTTTCCGTTCAATGAGTTATTTTTTAATTAGCTACATTGATTTGGAACTCCGGAGGTAAGCCTTCCCGTTGTCCTTGAGCACATCCTACAGGCTAACTGCACACAGGGTCACGGAGCCGCACAACAAGGAAGCAGCTCACCGTCACCTCAGCGGTGCTGGGCAGAGGGCGGTTCTACTCTGTGGGTTGGTCGAGGGTCCCTGGGTCACCCGGCACCCACACACGCCTGTGTGTATCCAGTGAGTGTATACACAGCATCCTTCTATGGGCGGAATCTTTGTAGGCCAGAGGCCAGCACTTCTGGGGTCAACCAGATGTCCTCTCTGCTCTGCAAGGGCCACAACTGGAGAGGACTCAACCCAGCCTTCTAGAAAGTCAGCGGAGACTTCTGGAAAGACTGACATGAATGGGAAAGGAGGTTTAAACAGGGCAAAGCACAATGATCCAGGGTCAGCCAGGGCCAAGAGAGACCTGACAGCATGGTTTGGGGGGTGGACGGGGGATGCGTTTGACCAGACTGGTAGCTGGCTGGAGAGGTCATAGGGGGTCATGGTCACGGGGGAGCCTTGAAACCACAGCGAGGCCCACGAGGAGACAAGTCTCCAAGTTCCACAGTGACTTCAAACATGGCAGAACCCGGCAGCTTCTGGCACACATTCCTATTTCCAAGTTAAATAAGAGAGAAGGCAGGAAGAGGGAGCCACGTACGTTATGTGGACAGGCACACTCTGAGGACAGGTTACATATTGTCATCCTCCAAGGGAGGCGGGCATAAAGACTCGGTGTGAATTCACAGTCCAGCCCGGTGGCACCTCGGAGCTTCCTCAGACAGAGGGTCGCTCCATTTGGAAAATGTCTACACTTTCACGAGGGTCGGCTGACTCCTCCCGACCTCTGCCATGACTCAGTGCCCCTGTCCCACGCACCTAGGATTCATCCAAAGAACAGACGCACCCAGGGATGCCTGGGGAGTGACCGCATGCAAGACTGCCAGAGCAACGACTCCAGACCTGGAAAACCTCACCAGGCTGGGATGCTAGCTATTTCTTTCTGCTTGTCTGTCCCCATGGCAACTCGTGGGGCTGCATCCTGCCTCCTCTTCTCTCTGGAGCGGCCTGTTCACAGGCTGACAACACACTACATAATGCAAAATAGAAGGGCCTGCCCGTTGGATCTGGCTGTCAGTAGAGAAGAATGGTGGCTTGCAAA